GTAACTTAATAAATTTAGTATTAAAAAAAGAATTTTCAGTGGAAAATTGAACTATTTATAGCATGCTCTAACAGGGGCAGCTAAGTCTTTTCAAAAGTAACACAAGAATTCAAGCAGCCTAGATACAGCTCAAAGTTTCAGATGTTCAACCAATTCTTGGTCAATTTTTAAGAAGTAATTTATATGCTTATGATATGATTGTAATGACTTTTCTTATGAGCTCTGGTAAAATAACCACTTTACAAAAATAATTGCCAGTATATTAAAACTAAAACCAAAGCCAAACCAAAGCTTGTTTTTTAAAAACAAGTCTGTAACAATAGATGCAGCTGAACATTTCCTCCATGCAAACTCTTAAAAGGATTAAAAAAACAAACCAACCTTGATGCATAATGCAAATATATTCTCTTTTTACAATGACAAATTGTGACAAGCTGTAATAAGCAAAAGTAAACTAGACGTTGGCCATTTGTTCTAGTTCTCCACATATTAAGATTGTGGACAACCAGAATGGAGGGATGATGGGACAACTATTGGCATTGCAGGATCGCAAATGAACACTTTTGGAGATGCTTACAGAGATGTACTTCAGCCCTTTTTGATTTTGTTTTAGAAAAAGAAAGGAAGAGTCTCTGTTAGCATCAAGAAGATTTTTACAAAACTGGCAGGAGAACATAGAAAAAAGAAGTAGAAGAAGTAACAATACAGAAATATCAGGATGTTAACACTGCTTATGGTTTCTGCTGAGAAACAAAATGGGACAGGGGCACTGTTGGAGAATGATAGTTCCAGTTGAATCTCAAAAGTCCCTCTTCAAATCCTGATTAGGATAAACATCAGGGTCACTGCTAGATGGATTGACTATATTTTCATATACTGCTTTGCCCAATCAATTTAAGCTGTCTTTTTAATACACAACTCAGACATATTTTTGGATCAACTACTACAGGCAGAACTGATGTGATGATTGTCTCTTTTCAAAACTGTTTTTCACCGTTGTAAATAGCTATTCCCTTCCCCACTGATTGCCTTGAGTGATATTGAGTTTGTTAGAGAACTCCTGCTATTACGTTCATTAAGATCGAATACAAGGAGGCCCAGTTGAACTTTCCAGAGATGACTGGGAAGCCCTGCGAGTCAGAGGAGTCAACGTTGGATCCACCAGGGAGGAAGGTGGAAATAATTTATACCAGCCTATTACCACACTGGACAAATCAAGTTCTTCTAGCAAGATCTGTGCAACTCCCATGAAACACTTGTGATCCATTCGGCCATAATCTCCCCATACTATCACCTGCAAAGACAACAGGCAGAATTAATGCTTGCTTATTTACTTATTTATTTACTTAGGCTTACATGGGGCTCTAATCAGAAATGTCTCTGATTGACTTACACTCATTGCAGTACTCAGATTAAAATATACTTAGGACCATATATAACAAAAGAAACACATGGCAATACAAATCATAAACCACAACCATAAAACTCTTTGCAGTTCCTGACAGTCACCTGGCATCACTTCAACAAGTACAGTTCAAATAACCCCATGATCTTCAAAGGCCCTCTGAAACACCAGATCTTGATCACCTTCTGAGATAGTAGCAACAAGGGGCCACCTTATCTGCAAGGCTATACTATGATATATATTGTCAGAGGTTTTAAAGTTCCAAACAGTGGGAGGTTCCAGGTGTAGTACGATTTGGGTTTAGCTTCTTTTGGATGGGAAAACACCAGAGACTTATGATATTTTTTGCACTGTTTTATTGACAAACATACAAGTATAGTATAGTAGAATGCAAATATACTATAAGCGGAAGGCACAGTCACTTACTGGATCTAAAAGAAATCCCTTGGACCTTAAAACTTTGCATTTCCTCCAGCCAAATCACTGTACCCTTGGTTCTCTCTGTTTTGCTCTTTTCCCTTAACTTCAGATCTTTCTTCCATTCTACACAATAATTCAAATGGGTCTCACTAAGCTTTATTAAGCTCTTGAAGACCATTTCCTGTCACTGATGACACGTCAACTATCCTATCAAAGTTTTTATCAAGCTATCCACCTAAGATAGGACAGTCTTCCAATAATTGTAATAATATATTCATGGCATGTCCCAAGGATATCTTTTTCAGCAGCAAAATGAGGAAGCTATTGCTCATATTACTATGTAAAATGCAGCGATGCAATTTGTATTTTCCGGGCTGAACTTAAGCTAACTATGCCAGAATGTTCAGATTTCAGTTGACATCATTGATAGTGATCATAGGCTGCACGAAGATAAAGCATCTACTGACCTGAAGGACTTTACCATGTGAACTTTCATCGAAAACCAGCGTCTGTTGATATAAAGGATCAAGGGTTTTCCTGGCAATCCTTGTTTTCTTCTTAGCTACACATGCCCCATTTTCCAGCAGATACACTTTGACATACGGTGCTACAAAGTAGAAGCAGTATCATGTTTTTACATCTTAAATTGATAACTCCCTTATTTTTAAAGCTTTTGTACCACAACAAGAAATAAGTTTAAATTATTGACATAATTACAAAAACGACAGCGGCAACTGGTAAATTACCAAAAAATGTAGACAATGAAATGAATCAAACATCTAGTATTCTCCTTTAGTGCACACAACCCCTTCTTCAAAAATTGGCAGTATAAATCTGCCATAACTCTTAGAAACCCAAACATATTTTTAGTTGTTGGCATGATCACATAAATTATTAACTTCTACCAGGAGAAAGCATAGAAATGTTCTGCATGCCTTAATCCATGTACGTATTTCTTCTGAAGATCAGAAAGAAAGGTTAATGTAAGATGCCTGCTATTGATTGTGAATGGATGGATGGATGGATGGATGGATATCTATCTATATCATCTATATCTGTATCTGTATCATCTATATCTATTAACTAATTGATAAATATGATCAATTATGGATCAGGAAAGGATTCCTAAGAGGTAGCTGTCTTCTTGTCAGTGTTTATTGTTTTAGCACAAAAGAACTGAGCCAGAAAATTATGCTTTTCCCAGTAGGGATGTCTGAAATAGCTTTCATTGCAGCAGGGAGTCTTTTCAGAGATTTGAGCTTCTCCTTGATAGGAAATGACAACTGACTGACTTGTGCAAAGGATAGCAATGGCACTGAAGACTTTGGTTGCTCTGGCTTCAGGGCATCCCTCACTTGCTGGCTTCCTCCTTGCTCTGTACGCTTCTTAATGATGCAGGAGATTTGTTAAGTTATGACAATGTTTTGTCATCTGTTCTATGATGAAGTATACAAGGCAATCCCATAAATAGCTACTCAGAAGTAAGTTTCATAAAATACAGCGAGCTTTATTCTCATAATAATCAAAAAAGGCATTACAATTTAACTTCTTACACAGTTTCACAAGAAACATCTGGCAACATCTATTGAATTTATAGCCTTCTTGATGCTTATGCATAGAGAAATGGATGAAAATATAAAACAGATTTAATTAGAAATTGCTGTGTTTGCTGAAGAGGCAAATGTGAATAAAGCACATGTTTTTATACAATCATTTCTGTCAAATCTCAAATGGTTCATTAGGCAATTGTGTTAAACAATGCCATGCCTACTCTAGTGCATAACATGACCAAAAAGGCTGTAACCACTACCACATGTTATGTTCTTTTTTGAGGGATCTTGGGCATTCTCTTAGTGTTAGGAGAATCAAGTGAAGCTCCCCACCCACAACATCCCTTAAGCACTCTTTCATAACTGCTCTAATTATTCTTGCAGCGATGATAGGAGATATGATGCTTGGGTATTAGATCTGTCATTCCAAGAATGGTCATGCATGGCACCTCCTTGTAGTCTACATTCCAATGGTGGGGAGACTGAGGAGAGAGTGAGTAGAGGTGTGGGTAGAATACAGATCTGAGAGAAAGCTGGAATCCTAGCCTAGGAAAACTACCACCCCTTAGGGTTAAGAATGGATATTTACTGCCAGAGAAGGCAGACATTAGGGCTACAGACAGTTTGTACAATGTAAGTTACTAACAATCATCTTAGGAAAGCTAGGAAGAAATTCTGTAGAAGTTAAAGTAGGTTGTAATCCTAAGGGAATATGTTCACAACCTTTTAAAGTTATATAATAAAACTTAATTCAATTCTTTGTTCAAATGCTAAAACATATCTGTGACTGTGTGCTTCTATACCTTCCCCACATTCCATAATGTTGCTTCATACACACACACACAAACACACAGAGTATATATGTGTGGTGTGTCTGAGTGTGCGTATGTATATATTTATCTTTACAGTATGTAAAGATATTTACATTTATGTATTAAAAAAGAATGGAAAAACAAAAGAATGTCCAAATCAGGAAAAAGTTTAATGGTAGCAGTGAAGCCAATAGATCCCTTAAAGATCTCCCTAGATGATTGTGATTATGCTATAGTTCTGAAGAACAAAAGCTAAGAAAAAAGAACATCTATAGGGACATTGGGGAGGAGGGCAGAAAAGTCGAGATGGTGGCCTTGTGATTGAAGCCCACACAACACAAACAAAAAGGGTGGGTCTTGAATTATGCAGTTGTGTACCACCATCTTGACTTTTTTGGTCTCTTCTTGTGGGTGCCCTTGGATACTCACAAACAGTGCACAGAGCAGTGTTTGAGTGTTCTATCCATATTTTGGGACACTGCATTCTTCTTAGCCATATGCCAAAGAGAAAGAATCTGAAAACTGTGAATCCCAGAGCACCCCCAGATGACATCATCAAAATTTGGCTAGGCAGAGCTTTTCTTACCTGGGGTAGATTTAGAGCCAGGCTTCTGTATTAGGCCTCGAGCTCTAATGACTTCCACTTCTAACTGCCCTTTCTTATCCACCATTCCAATCTGAATATCACCTAAGATGGAGATAGCATTATCATATTAACCATGTGAATGAATGAATGTACAAGTTCAATAGTTTACCTTAATTTGTGCTACTTATTGTCTTATTAAACATTTCCATCGTGGCCACTCTCAATTTACCTGTTAAATTTGCTACCTTTATTTTACAATTGGTTTAACTTACATTTTTAACTAAATAGTACAACTTCTCTTATGTAGTATGCAATTTAGACTAACATCAAAGGAATAAACAGAACAATAGGTTTAAATGTAACTGGCTTGGTTGACTGGCAATAATAAAAATGATACTCTTATGGCAGATGGAACCACTTCAGCTCCACAGCCATATCCTAGTGTATACGCACTGATTTTCTTTTCTTTTTTCTTTTCTTTTTTTAAAAACTACTGTTTGGTGGCCACTGGGCATCAGCAGAGGGTGCAACAGCTCAGGAGTTTTCCAACTAGAACAAGATTTATATCTCCAGTATATAAGAGAAGTTTTCCAAAACACTTTTTTTAAAGAACAAATGTTTCAATTGGTTTTCTAGGTTAGAATCTCTCCAGAGCCTACGAAAAATTAAAAGCAGAAATAGTGGAAATAAAATGTCACTGGGAAAAATAAATTATTTGTTTTCAGCCTAAGTCATATGTGAACTGATTGTAGAATTGCACTGACTCAAACCCAGCAGGTATCTATGAATTTATACATAAATAAAAAGCCAAACAATCACTTAAAATACAATTGACTCAGTGGTATCCCAAACACAGCCAGTACATCTCTGGATGAATAAGGAACATTAAAAAGAAACAAACAAACCCTACCCTAAATAAAAATACAGCGGTAGCTGAAGCTGTGGCCAAGTTAAGTTGTATTCTTGCTCAGGAAACTTTAAGGCTGCTCCTTCTCCTTCTCCTGCTTTACTTGGCATCAAGCCATCAATTTTCAAAGAGGAGGCTGCCTATTGGCAGATCTTCAGACAGAACTCCACTCTCTGTAAAGGAGGCCAGTCTACATTTTGGAAGAGTGGATTCATTGATGCATGCAGTTTGTACCTTACCTTTATATTGGCACCATCCTAGTACACTGGATATATAATTCATTATGTTCTGGGAAAGGTAGCAGAGTTATGGGAGTGAAGAATTCCAAGAAGAGGAAGAGAGCTAGATGGTTACAAATGGATCAGAATCCAATTGTCTATGCATTAGAGCTGAGTGATGCTTCAACATAACTTTGAAAAGAGCACCCCTTTGAAACGGCTTCGTAGAGCAGATGGTCACCTTGCTCCTAAGAGTGAAGCAAAGTGACCTGCTCAGCCTTCTATTACAGACCTCAAGGTACTGGAGAACAGTGACAGAAGCCTTTGGCCCCAGCCTTTGCCTCCTTGGCTGAGGAGCCTCCCAGGATGGACAACTTGCAGCACACCTGAAGCTTTCCAACCTGGAGTTTTCTCTGCATTGCTTGCCCAAGTCTTTTGGTGAATGGTTAAAAGAATCAAGTGGTGTAGAAAAACTCTTTTGTACTGCTCTGCTCCCCTGGCCTTTTGCCAGCTCACAAGGGATTGAGAGAGGCCAGCTGCTTTAAACTGATGGGATCAGATCCAGAAATGCCATGAATGGACGCTCGTTGATGGAAGGTACAGGATCAGGGGAACACACATTCCAGCTTATCCTTTCCTTGGACCACCTTGGCTTCCCTGCAAATTTGTCCCAGAAGTTTTTTTCCAGGACAGCAAAGGAGTTGGTAGAAGGAGAGCTGTATAAAAAAGGGGAGAAACTACCCTTCTGTCAGCAAGAATTCCCACAGGTTCAGATGCTCTTTTAGTAACAGAAGGGCAAAACTGGATCCAAGCTAAGTTTTCTGGACATTGTTGTTCACCTGCTTGAACATTTTCGCTAGAGTGTGATTAAATGTTTTCAATAATAATTAAAAAAAACTATTTAAAAAGAGAAAATAAACCGTGGAGCTCTTACACAATCTGGTACAGACAAAGATAGAAAAAGTCACAAAAGAAACTCGAGCTATCTATTTCAACTTGAATAAACTGCCTTCATATTTCCTTTTATGCAATTAGCTCATGGTCCAGGCTAAAAGATTCAGGAATGTCAATTCACTATATAGCCCACAGAAATGGCACAGCACATAGCAGTGCATCAGCAACTCTCTAGACTCTGAAATACTGACTGCCAGAACATTTACAGCATTTTGCATTTTTACAAGACAGACTATTCTCTTATTTCACATAGCATTTCTGTTTTTGACTGCAGGCTAACTGCAGTCATCATATATATACAGAATGACTGAAAGTGGGACAAATTTTTAAACGGTTTGATTAGAAATGGACATGATAACCCCACCCTCAAACAATGCATTTTTAAACACTAATCTGTTTTGCAGGCAAAATGAAATCTACTCTTACCCATGGCAGGAGTTGCTAACGTCTGTCGTCCTACTAGCTGAGCCGGTCCAAGCCCATCTAGAAAATCACTGAACTGACTATCGGCACCCAGTCGAACTCCAGGAAATATTAGGCTGTAATAAAAACAGAGTAGAAAGGCTAAAAAATAATTCATACTATCTGGCTATTATTTTGGCATGGCTCTCTTTTTCTAAATGCACAGCTGTGAATGAACATACATTGCCATATTCTTGAACCCTGGTCTTTTTGCAGCTCTTGTTCATTTCTGAAATTGTCTCATAAAGTATGACAATGCTAGTATTATGGAAACAAAGAACCCCAGTGTACACATCCAGCTCAAGTGGAAGCATCAGGTGTTCTGGGCTACAATTCCCATCCTCCATCAGCACTCTGGATATGCTGACTCTCCATAATTGTAAAGGCAGTAAAGAAATGTCCCCATCTTTCCTAGTAGCACTATGTGTTGATGGTTCCATCCGTCTAGAAACAGCTGGGGGCAAGCCAAGGTCCTAGGCAGGATAAAAAATGGTGTGCACCCATCCCAGTCACAACACAGCTAGGGAAAACATTCCTGCAACTTCTCCTTCTTCCTAGCAATAACAACAGTACATAAAAGAACCCCAAATTTGGCATCCTGTCATGACATCAGAAGCCCTATAGCAGAATTTGGCCACCTATTTAGGACCAAGGGCCATATCAAATATGTATGGATTTGGATGAATGCAGCCAATTGATCGAAGAACAGTCTTATCTTATTTTCAGAGATGATATGACTGGATTATTCATTCAAGCATGGTTGTCACAATTTACATTTTTCCAAAGTGAAAAAAAAAAAATCAAAGCGTTCAGATGAATAACAGCCTAGAGGTGTTGCCCTGAATCTTGAACCAAATTTAGGCTGCTTCTTCTTGTACTACTACTTTTCTGCATCCTGGTGGTTCCATTTTTGACAAATGTCTGGCTAAAAGGAAACTAAAAACCTCAGCAGAACATCCCATATTTAAAATCAAATTAGGGCCTTTGAAATTAGCAGATCTACCCGGAAGGCTCTATTAAAGCTATCACATATTAAAACAGCAATTTAGGCTAAAGTTTTCTCCTGGGATCTTCAAACACTAAGTAGCAAGTCTTGCCAGAGCATAACCAGTGATATTTTATCTTACAGAGTCAGCAGAATCACCCAAGAGAATATCCAAAGTACTTTTTCTTCACTACTGAGCAACCACAATTCCCACTCAATTCATCTGCAATGAGACAGCAGGGTTTTTAGGTCAACCTTGTCCCAATTTATCTTCCTTTTCTGTTCTATATAGGCACTGCTGCTGCTAATTCTGTGTATTCCCCCTTCTCCCCAACCTTCTTTAAAAGATTGCCTCTCCTGCCGGGGCCCCACAATTGGTCTGCCTCCTGATGCATCACTATGGACACCCTAAACCTTCTGGGACACCCACAGTTGCTATAAATCACCTGCCTGCCTGACACATATAATGGGTCTGGTTCTCAGAGGCTTCAACTCACTTTCCTTCTGAGCTGTAACTGTTGATACTACCATCAGTTGATTCCCGACTTGGCTGACGGACCATGCGACTTCTCATCTCTGCTGCCATTCCTGTCTCTGTGCTTCTTTGTATCGTGCTTTTTAGCTTCTTGTTGCCTGTCTCTAAAACAGACAGAAAAACAGAAAGTAGCAATAGTAGTAGCAGTAGTAGAAACTATAGTATGAGAGTTATGGGGAATTTTGAAAGAATTATAATGTTGTAGTCACGTATGTTGTTCACTGTTGACTAAAATTCGAGAATTTTGAACTTAATATGGCCTCTAAATAACAGGCAATAGGACTGCATTATAATCTTATTCTTAGCAAGCATGCTATCCTGTAGACTACATATTTCAGTTCATTCATTAATTTACCTACTCTCTTAAGAAATTCATTAACACTATCTTGTTAAACAACTCATTCCATTTTTTTCAACATGCATTTGTCTTTGTTGTGATTTTTTTTCTAGAATTCATCTTGCCATCTGCAGCTGCAATCCTGCACTCACTTACCTGGAGCGTAAGTTTAACTCAACTCCACTTAAACAGAAGACATGTGGAATTGCAACATAGCTGATTTTTTTTTTCTTCAAAAGAGAGGGATAAAATGCAACGATTCCTCATTTATTTTCTGCATATTTAGATAGGCATTTATAAGCCCTGCCAATTGAGGCTATGCTGGGTTTGCAAGAGCCATGCTTATATTTTGTGAATGTGTACAGCAACTTCCCTCCAGATAGGTTGGATTGCGATGCCTATGAGCCCTCAGGGGGATCCCAGGCTGATGAGGATGTTGCAAAGAACATAATCAACTGAAGCGTACTGCCGGGTGGTGGCAAGACCCACCGCTGACTTTATGGCCTCACGAGACACTATTAGTTACTCAATGGTCTCACATCTTCTAAGTACTGAGAGAACAGCCTCATGTCTTTACTGCTGCTGTGCAGTTCCCAACTTTTCCTTCCTGTATTGCCCTTTATTACAACCTGATTGCAGGCTGCCCAATAGGGTGGTTTTCTATGAAAACCCCTAGTGAGTACAATGAATTAATGATGTGCAAGGCTTTCATCCATGATACAGATACAGGATGGCTCTTAAGTTATCCTTTTTCATTCTGACAATCATCCTCTCAGGTATATGCAGCTGAGAGAAACAGATAGCCAACAACCTGTCTACAATCCAATCCAGTCCCACATTCTGTCTGCCTATTGCATTGTAGTGTACTGGTTATTTTCTAGCTTTGTAAAATGTAGAAAAATTGTCCATGTCTCTGTTGTAGTGGTGGCTGAGGATTCCTGGTATCTCAAGGTGGAGGAAGGGTCAAAGGGTTCCTCTGAACTGGTTACTGTATGCTTTTCGTGAATCCGATGAGCAGCTGCCTCAGGCCACTAGGAAGGAAATGCTGACCACTGAACAGCATTTTGTGGTGGATTATGGTCACTTGGAAATCATGCAAATGGCAACACCTCCAAATTGTATGCCCTTTAAATAAATTTCATCATGTAAAAAAGGTTCATAAATAATTGATAGTCACAATTCATCACCCCACCATTTTGATGACAGATATGTGAGAATTCTTCCAAGAAAACATTTGATAAAAGGTCTTCCCATCTGAGCATGTCGTTAACAATGGAAATACACTCTTCTGCATCCCCATGACCTTCCCTCTCTTGATTTGGGTTAGTTGCCTTTTATGGGTATCTTGGCTAAGGTTCAGCTGCAGAGTGAGATGCAAAGTTGTTTCATTTGACAACACCTTTACAAATAATGGCTAAACTTAAGAACACCAATCTTTTCTACCGGCCTTAACTGCAGATATTCACCTGTCCATGGCAACTGACTGCATAAATAGCATTCTGTGCTTGCGTTGAGCTGCTGTTAAGGATTTGAAGGTAAGATGCAGAGAAAACTGTTCAGATGCCACTATTAAAACATGGGCATTATGTTTTACCTTAGTACTTCTGAGTTTCAATGAAATGTTAATTATGAAAATGTAAAAGATAATATAGTAAATACACTGCTGTAAGAGACACAGATCTGGATAAATCAACACATTCCTGAAGATCTATTGCATTGTGTATATAGAGAATAAGACTTAAGTGTGGTTACACTTAAACCAACTTTTGCCCTTGAGAACTTTTACCTACAGACATACAGAGACCATAAAATAATTTCAAATGTGAAAGCAGAATTAAAAACTTAAAGCCCCTTACTCTAACAAGAGTAATTGATTTCTAGGATTCTCTGGTATATGGGTTATGCAAAATGAACTATCTGCCAGAAATTTTTGATCATGTATCTTTGAAACTGGAGAGTAGGTCAGAGGCATATGGGGGATATGGGGTGAACCATCCTGCAATGATTAGATAAAGAAAAATGTTTAGTTAATGCTGACTAATGTTCTAGAAGGGTTGAATAATTCAACCAATTTGTTTTTGAAATTCAAGTTTATATATGACTCTGTCTCATTACAATTATAATAAATGTAATTTTATCTTTGCTTTTTGTTGATCAGGAATAGAAATGCACTTGAGAAGTAGGCAATGTTTCAATTTCCTTCTGCAAATACACATCTGGGATACTTGTACACTTCTGTTTACACACCACACTGGCTGCATAATGGCCAGAACTCTCCAGTGGGCCATGTTCCCATGACAAATTTTTGGGATTTTTTGAGGGAGAGATTTGTAGCATGCACTTTGGAGACTTTATATTTCAATTACTAGATATAAGGTTAACAGTTTAAACAGAAATCATTCTGCTAGAACCTGTAGCTCTGTTCTACACATGTAAATTGAAAAGATTCAGCAAATAAATTGTACAAGTAATTTCATTACGCATCACAGTTTTAACAGAAAAGTGTTAAAGTAAGAAATATTAAACATTTGTATTTCATACATCTGATTCTGATAATATAAATTGATCTCAAAACAAATCTTCAGGTAAAAGAGATGTTTTGGAAAACAAACAAACACACTCTTGTAAATATGCCCAAGATATTGATTTATAAATATATTTTGGCTATATAAATGATTATGGATATATAATAAAGAGGTCAGTGTCTTAGGATAGTATTGATGAAAGTATGGTTGAAATACTGTGAAACAAATGATCAATTGCAAAAGAAATGCATTCATAAGGCTATATTTTTTCACTGAAAATATTTTTTCACATAATTTCACATAATTATTTACATATGATTCTTAGTCTTAAATAAATAAAAAAATATGAGGCATTTGATATTGTACTGAAGTATATGATCTTTTCACTCAAGACATACTTTTCCATATGCACTTTTCTATTGGTAACTTCAACAATGGAAAAGAACAATCTGTCATGTAGAACATGAAGAATGGGTTTTCACTGAAAATATTTTTTCACATAATTTCACATAATTATTTACATATGATTCTTAGTCTTAAATAAATAAAAAAATATGAGGCATTTGATATTGTACTGAAGTATATGATCTTTTCACTCAAGACATACTTTTCCATATGCACTTTTCTATTGGTAACTTCAACAATGGAAAAGAACAATCTGTCATGTAGAACATGAAGAATGGGCCATTGCATCCTATCAGATGGTTGCTTCATTCTAGAGTATGAATACTACATGATGGGGTTTTTTTGAGAACTGGGTGTTATTCAGCAAGTTTGACAGACATCCCCAAATTTTCTGTGCATTCACACATTAACACAATTTATTGGATTCACTAAAATGAACTCTCAGGATGGATGAAGGGCCAACTCTCCCACTCTCCCTTTATCCTCTACTTGTCCCATCACATGGAAGGGCTTTCTCACAGGCATACTTGGATGCTCTTCCAACAACGGTACTATTGGGAAAATTGAATGGCAATACTTATCAAGAGTGTTTAGATGTCTGCTCAGATTCCAAAATTGAAACAGTAGCACATGTATTTCTGAACTGCCCTATTTACAACCCTTACGATAACTCTCTTATCATAAACTACCCAGATCAATCTCACATGCAGTTGTGCGCTACCTTCTAAATGACCAGGATTGAGAAGTTTCCAGAATGGTGGCCAAATAATGTGCCATTCCAATAAGTCAGAAGTTACTGGACCTGACTGCATTCTAGATATATTTAGTCTCAGGTAAGAATATGTTTTTACTGGATATTTATATTCTGCTTACTTTTCTCAAAATTTGAATTTTTTTGGCTATGACCATATATTTTAATAAAGTTAATTTGGATTCACAGAAGACACTAGTTTTTTCCATGAACTGTTAAAGAAGCCACAATGGCCTGATTCACATATACTGTTAGACTATACACCATAATTTAGAAACTATAATGGCTAAAGTAATACTTCACACTAAGCCACAATAAAACCCATATTTTGGCTTAGGGCAATGTGTGAATCCAGCTGCTCCCTTACTTAGATCAATTTTATGTATACATATATTTACATATATTCAAATTCGAATATATATATATATATATATATTCAATATATATATATATATATAGAGAGAGAGAGAGAGAGAGAGCGCGCAAGAGCGCACAAAGATCTTAAACATATGCTCTAACTTGTCTTCTATGGCCCTTTATTGATCTTTATTACTTATTTCAGTTGTCTGTTTCCTGGGATGGAAATGTTGCACAAGAGGTTTAAATGCTCATATTTACATTAAATACTGAATTGTATTTTAGAGCACACGGAACTCTGGAAAAATAATCTGCTTTCTCATCACTCAAGTTTATATGAAGCCTTAGGTGGGTTATGTCCAAATCTAAATGTGCCTAATTTTCAATGTTTCAACAGTTGACAGATTCTCCTACACAGCAGCAACTAACAAAGTGCATTGCATACTTTTTCATTTCCCCTGTGTTTCAGTTGATTTGGACAAATGTATCCCTTCCCTTTTCATCCCCACTTTGAGTTGGTGACCCCTTGCTGCTTTTGTCTTCACCACTTTGCCTACCTCAGTGGATCTTCATTTAGGTGTACTACTGTGTGTGAATGTGTAATGCAGACACAAATAGAATATTTCATATTTCACAGTCTAGGAACTTAGTTTTCTCCTCTTTACACAAATTACGGACTTGTTTTGTAAGACAACAATCAGCAGGATCTTACATTCTAGAGTACTGACA